TGCATTATCGAGGTGCTGTTTGTATTCAGGGACGTCCGGTGGTGGCCACTGTGGTCGTTGCTGTCGGCGCCGTCGGCCTTGTCAACGGTCTGGTCGTTGCTCCTGCTGTTCATGGTCACCGTCTGCCCGTTTGGGGGGTAATTTGCAAGTCGTGCGCAACGCACGGTGGTCAGATCCCAAATCTAATGCTGGCGTCGACTCGCAGTCTGTTGTGTGGCGCCACGAACGCTTGTCAACTAAGAAGAAATCGATCTGGTGTCGGATCTTTTTCGGCGATGTGTACGTGTACGTGCATTCGACGCGCTTGTAGAAAAAACGTGTTCATGATCCTGAAGCGTTGATCCGTTGCCCATTCTGTCAACCATTGTCCCCTTGAGTTCATAATTCCAACCCCATGTTGTCCAATAGTACGTTTGTTGTCGTCCTCAGCTCGTGTACCGATCCGGGCATTGAAGTCACCACCAATAACTGTAGCAAATTTGTTGTTGTATGCCTCTAGGTGTATCTGCGCGAACTCGTCGTGTAATTTCTGTACGTGTTTGTCGCCATAACCTCCATGAGGGAAGTAAACTGATACCAGACATAATTTCATATTGTGCACCCCAACGTCTGCATAACACACTCCCTCACCAACCCGCTGAAATTGGATTACGCGCCGACTCCACCGCCGGGGGGCCAGTCTGGCAACTCCTCTGCTGTTTGTCGTGTAACCACAGCCCATGGAAATATGACCACATTTTGTCCCCCATATTTCATGTTCGTCTGTACGCCAAGTCTCGCACAACAGAATGAAGTCCCAATCGATAGAACTAACCTCCTCCATTAATTCATAAATCCGCTCTTCTGTGCATACTCCACGCACGTTTTTGTGGTAAATCCCAATCGTGTGGCTGTCTGCTATGGCGCTGGTCGGGTTGCCTGGTGGTGGATGTTTGGAGTCAGAGCTTGGTGATTGGAGATGGACTGGTTGAGGTTGCAAGTCTGCCGGTGGAGGCCGAAAGTTGGAGGTGGATGGTGGTCGGCGCTGGGTTCCGGACGTTGATGGATGAAGGTGGACTGGTTGAGAATGTGCGTCGATTGGTGGAGGTCGAAGGCTGGAAGTGGGCGGTGGTAGATGCTGGGAGTCGGGACTTGGTGGGAAGTCGATTGCTTGAACTTGTGAGTCGGAGGGTGGAAGTCGAAAACTGCATATGGGTGTTGGCGGATGCTGATTGTCGGATCTAAGTGTTTGGAGGTCGACTGGAGACTGTATTGAGACATGCTGGGTGTCGGACCCGGCTTGGCTAGGGAGGGATTTCGCACATCTCTGCTGGAGGATGCGCTGTGGGACGTCGCCGGACACGTCGTTGTAAGCGTTTCGTCCTCCTCCTTTTCCTCCCAGTGTTGGATGCTGGAGGTAGGAATGCTGCATTCGTGGAGGATGGGGGTCGATAAGTGGAGGTAGAGGTGGGAAGTCGGAGGTCATACTCTGGATGGTGGAGGCTGGAGGTCAATGGGTGGAGGTGGGGAGTCGGGTGGTGAAGGTCGAAAGCTGGAGTCGGGAGCAAGTGATTGAAGACAAGGCCGTTGAAGTGGAACATCTTGGTGTTGACGTTCATGGCGGACGTCGTTGCAGAACTCATCAACGTGCTGGTGGTAAATATGTAACCCATGACGACTCCTTCCGCAAACATCCCCAATCGTCGTAACGATGTTCTCCAAGAGAGCTTCACACTGTGAGTCCTGCTGGGAGGCCTGAAGGGGGGAGGTCAGAAAGTCGGCAGAATCTGCGTCGAAGGCGGGATGTGGTAGATTGGGCGTGGGTTGTCGGAGGTTGGAGATTGAAGAGTGTAGATGGGTCGAAGTTCTCTGGGGGTGGAGGTCGGAATCGATCGCTGGAGTCGGAGAGGCACTGTCGGAGTGGGAAGCCCGAGTCGGAGCATCCTGGGCTGCACCGTCGTCGGGGAGAGCGGCGCCAGAGTCGGAAGTAGTAGTACGTCCCTGCCGTAGGATGCACCACGGCACATCTCCGGAAACGTTGTCGTAGATCCGTCGTCCTCCGCCGCGGCCGCGTGAAACTTCAGACTGGGCAACATGATGGTCCTTCGGAGGTGGGAGGTCCTGAGGGAGATGGGGGTAGATGGGTGAGAGAGCGTTGGTGCGGGAGGTCGATGCCGGAGTCGGTGAAACGTGTCATTGTTGAGGCCGTCCTGATAGAGGTAGCTGCCCGTTGAATCCTGCCGCCGCACTGTGCGGAAAGGATCCTGAAGGATGGGAGCGTATCGTAAGCAAATTTATGTTATTCACACATCTGCAGCTATGTTGTAGCCTCATGTGGTGACTGACTGAGTTACAGTCGGGGGTGCGCAAACATGGATCAGCGATCCGTGGATCTGGCGCGCGGTCGCCAGACCCACGGATCAGGGGAAGCGCCCTCCCCGAAATGCGGCCAGTGCCGCCTCGTTGGGCGGCGGGGATCCGCGGCTTCCCATGGAAGTGGGACCCGTCGCCCATCCACGCCCCCCTGATTAGAGGCCTCCGAGATGGGGTCGGAGTAGATGGGGTCGGAGGATCGCGCCGCATCGCCGATACATCGGCGATGCATCGGCGATGCATCGGCGATGCATCAGCGATGCACCGGCGATGCATCGTCGTCGTGGGCGAGGCATCGGCGACGTCGACGTGGAGCAAATCGGGCTGCACATCGAGCCGCATCGGCGATGCATCGACGATGCGGCGCGATCCTCCGACCCCATCTACTCCGACCCCATCTAGGAGGCCTAGACTGATTCATGCTTGCGATCGCCCGATGCAGCGCAGCGCCGTCCACGTCGTCCGCGTCGGCCGCCGCCGCCGCCCGCGCCGTCCACTGCCGACGTGGCCGCCGTCCGCGGCGGCCACGCGGAAGCCCACGAGCGGCGATCACGAGCCGCAGCCGCGCCCTCGCCGTCGGGATGCGGTCGCTCGGACGCGCTCCGCGGGGGGCAGACGCGGAACAGAAGAAACGCATCCACGGGGTCGCGTCCCAGGGGCCCCGCCCGCGAGGCCACGGGCAGGAAATGCGCCCTTCGCCCGCGGGAGGCAAGGACAATGGGCCTTCGGTGGGTGTCCCCTCGTCGCCACGCCCGGGCGCAGCTCGGCAAACGAATGTGTCCGGAGCCCGAGAGGGGTCTTGGGGCAGATTTGTTGGTCTGCCGTCGTCTCAACTCGCCCTGCTCTGCACGTCGGCCACGTCTAGAGGATCCAACAACTGCATGAACATGCATACTCGTGAAGGTCCGCACGGGCTTCTTGGGTCGGCGGTGCACTCACCCCCCTCCCTGGCGCGCGGAGCGCGCCAGGAGGGCCAGGCGCAGACCCAGGAAATATCCGCGCGGACCCTCGAAGAGTTGCGATCATGCCGCATGCGCTGCTTCGAACGCTGCCGTTGCCGTTCACCGCCGCCGCCGCCGCAGGGTCGTCGTGCCGTGGTGTCGTCGCCGGCGGACGAGAGGCAGCCGCGGCAGCGGCGGCCGGCGGCTAGGAAAGGACACACGAAGGTCGAGGACCGACGGGCGACGACCAACGACGACGAGTGGCGAAGGGCCGACGACGGCGGGGAACCACCGACCGACGACCGACGAGCCACGAACGGCGAACGGCGCATGACGATCGACCAGCGACGCCAACCAACGACGACGGGAAGGGGCCCAGGCACTCAATGCGGGGTACCAGGAGGTCCCGACCAGTTCCCGAGTCGCTTCGAAGTGAACTTCTCTGGCACCTGGGACAGGTGGTGACACTCGAACCGTGCCCTCACCAACCATCGACTCTCCTGGATCGATGGGAGGCGGGGGTAGGACTCGGATTTCGCCACGTGTTCGACGCATTCCGAACCCTACCCCCCCGCCGCCCATCGACTTGCCCGAAGCGTTGACCGGCGGGCGAGGGCATGGCTCGGACTCCGCTGCCGACTGGAGCTCTGGGGGGCGGCGGACGAAGGCGGCGGCACACCCTGCGCGGGCGTCCCTGTCGCAGCCCCCCGCGCGCGCGAGCACGCCCGCGGCGTCGCGCCCGCGGGCAGGGGGGGCGGGGGGGCAGGCGGCCACCCTGGCGCGCAAGGCGGGCCCAGGGCGGCGGCGAGGCGGCGGCAGGGCGTCGTCGAGGCCACCGCCGCGGCGGCCGCCGCCGTGGCCGTCGTGGCGCGCAGCCGTCGCCGTCGCGGCCGTGGCCGCGGTCTCGCCATGACCGCGGCCGCTGCCGTGGCCGTGGTCGGCGAGCGAGGCGGCGGCGGCCGTCGAGGCGGTCGTGGTGGCCGTGGTCGCGGTCGGTTTCGCGGTCCTCGTCTGGGGGCCGCCCAAGTTTGGCACGCCCGGTATGGGCACGGAAACAAAGGGTACGATGCCGAACAGCTCATGCTATCCCAAAGCGGCAGCAGCAGCTGCTCGGAAGGCGGCCTTCCGTCTCAAATGGGCCACGCCCGCGGCGACGCCGACAGCGAGCCCTGCTCGAAATGGACACGAACTGCTGTCGGTCTTCGCACCCATGAAATTCATTCCGTACCCATTTCGATTCTGCAAGCGGGCCTGGAGCAGCTGAGGTCGGAAGATCGCACCGCACCGCCAATGCCCCGGCGGCGCATCGGCGACGGCAGACCGAAGAAGACCAGGTTGAGTATCAAGCGTGGTCGCGTGCCAAGGGGTCGGAGGGCGGACGAGGGCGAGGAGGAGGAGGAGGAGGCACCCCCCCCCATCCATCCCTCCGCCTCTGCCTGCCGGGGCCGAGCCCGGGATGGGGCTCCCCGCGCTCGGAGACCTCGCGGCCGTGGCCGAGCCGGGACAGCTGGCGCGGGCTTCCCCCCCGCCCATCGGCAGGCCGTTCGATGGCGGCTTCGGTTTGGCTGTCGGTTCGGTTAGTTTTCGCCGAGGACGGCCTTGGATGGAGAGGGACAAGAACAGAGGCTGGCAGTGGGAAGGGGAGTGGAGAGGTAGCGGAGGGGATGCACAGAGAGGGCAAGAGGAAAGAGGCGGAGGCCTAAGCAGCTTCCGCCACGTGGCTTGCACCACATTGCTTCCACCAGCCAGTTTGCACATCCGCAGTGCACAAATTCACTGCTTGGGGTCCATGCTGGCAGTCAAGGTGAAACAGTGAGTGTACGCAGAGATGCCCGCCACCGTGCCTTGTGCACGTTGAGGCGTGGAAAAATGCCAAGGTCTGCTCCGTAGGGTTTTTCGAAGACTAAGAAGGAAGCCCCCCCTTCTTGCTAACGCCGCGCGCTATCGCAACTGGGAGATTCCAACCCAGATTTGCAATGGATCCCGATGCTCTCCCCAATGGGTTTCACAATTGCACGGCGTCTGACGTTTTATTTGCCACTGAGCCGTGTAGGAGCCAGGCTCGACCGACTGAGCCCCCCCTTACCCGCGGACTGTCGCGTGCATTCCCCCTACTCACCGAGGCCTCTGTCGTCGTGCCCGCTCGAGGATGGCGCACTCCTGCACTTCTTGCGCAGCAAAGGAGCCCTGAACCCCCCCTTCCACGCCTGCGAGCTCGAGGATGGTGCACTTCCCGCACGGCAGCTAATGCCTGAACCCCCCTTCCACGCGTGCCCGCTCGAGACTGGTGCAATTCCCGCATAGCAGCTGATGCCTTAACCCTCACTCCACGCGCGCCCGCTCTAGGATTGCGCAATTCCCGCATGGCTGCTACCTCCTAGAGCCCTCATCCCACGCGCACACGCTCGAGGCTTGCGAACTTCCCGCATTCCCAGGCGCTGCTCCGAAGCGCTCCAGGGAGGGCCTCCCAAACTACGATCACGCGTTGGAAACGATGGATCTGCGTCCCAAGCTTCCAAGACGGCCCGTGCAGGCAACCAAGGACACCAAAATAGCCCAAGATGCCTCGAAGACGGCCCAAGATGGCCTCAAGGCGGCCGAATATTGCTTCAAGACGGCCCAAGATGCCTGCAAGAGGGCTCATAAGAGCCACAGGAGGACCTCCACCAGGGTCCAAAGAAACCAACACCATTGAGTTCCCCTGGGTGTTTGACAGATGTTCGCATTCTCGCACTGTCGGGCTGCGGTCAGCTCAAGACGGCCCACAAGATTCCATGATGGCACAAGAGGCATCCAAGACGTCCCCAAAACGGCCCAAGACGACCTCCGGTGGGACCCAAGACAGCCTGAAGGTCTTTCGACGGCCCAAGACGGCGCCAAGACGGCCCCTCTGAGGCCCCCAGACACCCACCATACGGTCAAGAGGGCCCCAAGACGGCCAAGGAGAACCCCAATCCAACGCAGAGGGCCCCAAAACGGCCCGAGAGGCCCCAAAGGACCCCACAGACTGCCTCACAGGAAGCCAAGGCAGCCCCAATACGGCCCGACCGAGGTTCATCATCAGCATCATCATCGTCATCAATATCAGCAGCAGCATCATCAGCAGCATCATCATCATCATCATCACCATCGCCATCACCATCACCATCACCATCATCATCATCATCATCATCAGCATCATCATCGTCATCATCATCATCATCAGCATCATCATCATCATTCTCATCATCACCATCATCATCACCATCGTCATCGTCATCGTCATCGTTATCATTATCGTCATCGTCATCGTCATCATCACCACCACCAGCAACATCGTCATCATCAGCACCACCACCATCATCATCATCTTCCTCGTCATCATGTCCATCCCCGTCATCCTCATCCTCATTATCAGCATCAGCGTCAGCATAATCGTCAGGACATTCATCATTTACCATCACCACCACCACCATAACCATCACCAACATCAGCATCGGCATCAGCATCAGCATCATCAGCATCATCATCAGCATCATCGTCATAACCATCAGAATCACCATCATCATCATCATCACCATCACCATCATCATCATCAACATCATGATTATCAGCATCAGCATATTCATCATCACCAGCATCAGCCTCATCAGCGTCATCACCATCATCGTCGTCATCGTCGTCGGCATCGTCATCGTCATCATCCTCCTCGCCATCATCATCATCAGCATCATCATCATCCCCACCACTCCCACCACCATCATCAAAATCACCACAAGAATCATTAACTATCGTCATCGCCATCGCCATCGTCATCAGTTTTATCATCACCGTGATCATCAGCATCATCATCATCACCGTCCCCATCATGACCGCTCATCACTCCCATCACCATCATCATCATCATCATCATCATCATCATCATCATCTTCATCATCATCATCATCATCATCGGCAACAAATAATATAATCACCGATCAGCATCATTGTCGTCATCCCCTAATCCTCATGATCAGCACCCTCATCATCATCATCATCAGCATCTTCATCATCATCAGCATCAGCATCATCAGCATCATCATCATCGCGGTCGTCATCGTCGTCGGCGTCGTCATTGCCATCGTCCTCATCGCCATTATCATCTCACCACCACCACCACCACCATCATCATCATCATCATCATCAGCATTACCACCAGTATCATAAAACTGTCGTCATCGTCATCCCCATCGCCATCGTCATCAGTTTCATCATCACCGTGATCGTCATCATCATCATCATCATCATCCTCAGCAGCAGCATCATCATCGCCGTCCCCATCATGTCCGCTCATCACTCTCATCCTCATCAACAACAAAATCACCGATCAGCATTATTGTCGTCACCCCCTAATCCTCATAATCATCATCATCATCAACATCATCATTATCATCATCATCATCATCAACATCAACATCAACATCAACATCATCATCAACATCAACATCATCATCATCATCATCATCATCATCATCATCATCATCACCCCATCACGGATCTCCAGAGTCTGGAGACACGAGGTGCCACATGTGACGGCCTCCCGTGCCCCCCTCGAGCAGTCGCCACCCAGAATGCTGGGATGGGACGGTGGCGGGACTTGCCGCAGGCAGCTGGATATGTACATCTACAGACGCTTGCGCCTTCAAACTTCAACCAAGCCAGAGATTTAGTTTCTGGAGGCCTCCAGTCTTGTGAGCCACGGCGCCCGAAATATGAGACAAAGCGTCCAAAGAACTCGGCAAGCCCCGAATCAAAACATCCTTGCCGCAGGCAACTGGATATACATATTACATACGCTTGTGTTTTCGAACTTCTACCGCGCCAGAGGTTTCGTTTCTGGAGGCTTCCGGTCCCGTGAGACACGGCGTCCAGTGTCGGTGCCCTCCCCCTTCCCCTGTAGATGAGGGGTGGTTTGACGGTGCCGTCGCCGTCGCCATCGCCGTCGTCGTCGTCGTCGTCGTCGACGTCGTCGTCGCGTCGTCGTCAAGCCCTTAATCGAGCCCTCCGGCGATGGCGCCGTGAAACCTCTGCCTCGGCGACCCTCCTTTGCGTCGGCACCGAAAGGGCCCGCTTCGGGCCACGGGGGCCCTTTTCGAGAGAGCGACAGCAGGGTGGAGCACTGGCACCCGATTGGCGACCCCTCGGGTCGGGCGAAAGGGGGGGAATAGCAAAGGGGGGGTTTGAGAATCAGCTCACGTAGCTGATTTTCCCGGCGCCTCCCGGCGCCGGAGGCGGCCATGTATCGAGGAATGGGCCCCTCCCTGGGGCCGAAACCAGCTGCATGCAGCAGATTTCGTAACCCCCCCTTTCCCAATCCCCCCCTTTCGCCCGGCCCGAGATGGGAGCGGGCACCGCTGGCGACCCCGCACAGGAGAAGTCGCCGTATCGGAAGCAATCCTCGTGTTAGGTCGGGCAGGTCCTCCGACAGGCACATTCGGGAAGAAAGAAGACAATCAGTCAAAACAGATCCAACAAAGCCAAAAGAGTGCACGAAAAATGCTTGAAGCCAAAAGAAGACCGTGTTCTCCCCCAGGCTGTGCTTTGGCTATGCTTGAATGCTCCTCTGCCTGACTTAGCCCTCGTGCTGCCGGAGGAGGAGCGCTGCACAGGGAGAGCATGGCTTGCCATCGCTCGGACGTCCATTTCCCGTGCATTATTCGGCTTCGCGCGTGTGTATTTTGCTCGATGGTCCAGGATGGTCCTCGATGGTTCTCGCCGAAGGAAAAATGCACACGTCCGAGCGATGCCAAGATGGGCTCTGCCGGCCACGGCGAGCCTCGGCCGCGGAGAGGCTCCACGGCCCCCGAGCTCAGGAGCGGCCCGGAGGCCGGAGCCCCTCCAGGGCCCCGAAGTTTGGACGCCCGAGTTATCCGGGGTAACTCGGGTCCGGGGTAACTCGGGTTTGGGTTCCCGAAAAAGGAACCCGAGTTATCCCTGACCCGAGTTACCCCTGATGATTCGGGGCTCTGGACGCCCGAAATATCCGGGGTAACTCGGGTCCGGGGTAACTCGGGTTCGGATTCCCGAAAAACGAACCCGAGTTATCCCTGACCCGAGTTACCCCTGATGATTCGGGGCTCTGAGAAGTGGTCCTTGCCGATGGTCCCAAGAGCGCCTGCCAGCCCCAGCGTGCGTTGGGTCATTCGAGGCGAACAGAATGATCTACTGGTCGGGCCAAAAGGGGTAACACACACACACACACATTGGGCCAACACGCGTCCTGGGGATCCAACCTCGCCTCGGCGCCTCGGCCGCGAAGAGGTTCCGGGACCTCGATCTGAGGAGCGGCCCCAAAGCCAGAGCCCCTCCAGGGCCCCCAGTGGTCCTCACGTCAGCGCCTTGGCCGCAGCCCAAGAGCGGGCACTACACGCATTCGCTCGGCAATTCGCCTCGCCGAAGGCGGTGGCCGTCGGCGCCCCGGGATCTTCAGAAGAATTGAAAAATGCTGTGAACATAAACTGTTGGCGCTCCGCGCGGATATCTTGGATCTGCGCTGGAAGCCCCTCCGTGGCGCGCGGAGCGCGCCTGGGGCGCCGGAGGCGCCGCCGGGGGGGCCCCAGCGCGGATCCAAGAAATCCGCGCGGAGCGCCAAAAGTTTATGTTTATGGCCCATTTTATGGCGTTTCTTCTTCTTCTTCGGATCTTCGCCCCCGCCGTCGCCCTCCCCCGAACGAGAACACACTGAACGCAGGCGCTTATCCAGGGGGCGCGCGCAAACACGGATTGGCGATCCATGGATCTGGCGCGCGGCGCGGTCGCCAAACCCACGAACCCGGGGAGGTGCCCTCCCCAAAGTGCGGCCGGTGCCGCCTCGCTGGGCGGGGGAAATCCGCGACTCCCCACGGAAGCAGGGCCCGTCGATCATCGCCGCCCCCGACGGGAGCAGCTCGGAGGGCGCCAACTGCACGCTGGCAGCGATCTATAGGCAGGCCGACCCTGGGCCAGGGATCTGTTCGGACGCCCTCCCGGCTTCGGCTGGGAAGCTACCAGTCGGGGGTGGACAGAAGCCCCAGCCCGATCCGCGTTTGCGATCGCCTGATGGTCGGGGGGGAGGGAGGCCCTCTCATCCTCCGCGCCGCGGGGGCAGCGCGACGAGCGACGCCCCGCCTCTTCCCCCCCTTCCTCTTGGTCGGGCGCGCACGGGGCGCAGCCCCCAGGGGGGGGGAGGAGGAGGAGGAGGAGGAGGAGGAGGAGGAGGAGGAGGAGGAGGAGGAGGAGGGAGGAGGAGGAGGGAGGAGGAGGAGGAGGAGGAGGAGGGAGGAGGAGGAGGAGGGAGGAGGAGGAGGAGGAGGGGAGGAGGAGGAGGAGGGAGGAGGAGGAGGGGAGGAGGAGGAGGGGGAGGAGGAGAAGCAGGAGCAGGAGGAGAAGCAGGAGCAGGAGGAGGAGGAGAAGGAGGAGGAGCAGGGGGGGGACGGGGGCCATCCTCCTCCTCCTCATCATCGGGGGCAAAAGGGTGCCACCTCAGGACGGGGAGATCTATACGCATCCACCGCCCCCATGGCCCAGCCCACCCGGAGGTGTGAGCGCCCCCCTGGCATGGCCAGACACTGATCACCCGGGCCCAGGATGGCAGTGTCCAGAGACGGTGGATAGTATCTGTTTGAGTTCGATTTCGAATCGACGTCGAGCCGAAAAGGGAAAGCAGAGGGGGCGAGCCTCGTCAGAAGGCTCAGGAGGCCTCCAGCCTTCCGAGAAGCTTCGCGAGCTCTCTGGAGCCTCAGAAGCTTCTCACAAGGCCGGAGGGCTTCTGAGAAGCCCCGCGGTCTTCTGAGAAAGCCTGCTCCCGCGATTGCCCCTCTCGGCGGGCCGCCGATCCAAGCTCCGTCTGTTGATTGCCCCCCCCGTAAGACCAGGTTTCGGGCCCTGGGGCCCTCGCGGACCGATCCAGCGAGAGGAGCGCCGCGGGGAGCAGACAGGGTGGGGAGCTCCCGTCGTGTGTTGCCTCGCGGCGCCGTGCGTGCGTGCCCGGACGGGCGGCGGGGTCGGCCCGCCCTCCTTTTCTGGCTCGGCTCTGGCAGAAGGAGAAAACATGGCATAGCCCCAAACTCTCGAGGGTCCGCGCGGATTCCTTGGATGGGCGCTGGACCCCCATCCCCAGCGGCGCCAGAGGCGCCGCCGGGGGGGCCCATCGCAGATCCAAGAGAGGAGACGAAGCCAGGACGAAGATCAAACATCGGGTGAGGATACGTCGAGAGCATCTGAGGTCCGGCGGCTCTGGAGGACGTCTCGGGCGCCGCGGCCTTCTCAGAGCGTCCCGGAGCGCTCCGAGACCGTTCCCAGAAGCTCTGGAAAGGGTCTATCCTCGCCCTGGCCCCAAGTCGGGCCTGCCCCCCGGTGGACGAAAAATCAAGCATTGTTGGCCTGCAAAGGGACACGCCCGACTCCGTGTCCTGGCCCCGTCCGGAGAGATCCGCGCGGAGCTCCGAGAGCGCACGCCCGTGCCGTGTCTTCTCCTTCGGTCTGGGCCTGCCGAGGAGCGCGGAGGCCCCCCGGGGGGGTCTGCCGGCCAGGCCCGCGGCCGCTCAGGCGGTCTTCCCCATGGCCTCCTTCACCGCGGTGCCCACGCAGACGACGCCCTCGCTGCACAGCTCCACGGTGGTGCACGTGCCCCCGAGGATGGCGAAGAGCGACGTGAGGAAGGCGTACCACCTCCGCGGCCTCGGGCCGACCACCGCGCTCGTGGGCGAGAGGTCGTAGCTGAAGCGGGCCTGGGGCGCGAGTCCTCGCACGTCCTTGCGCAGGCGTCTGACACGGTCGGTGTGGGTCATCTGGTACCACACGTTGTTGCCGGCATTCCAGGCTGGGTCGGAGCTGCTAGCGTACGTGCTGACGGCCTCGAGGTTGTGCTGGGGGGCCTCGTGAAAACGCTCCACGACAAACTTCCTCCCGTCGAGCGGATTCAGCAGCTTCACCATGTCCTGCGGGATCTTCCCCTGGACCCTCACTACGGTCGGGTCCAGGTCTCCAAAGGACAGGCGCTTCACGAGGTGGGACACGTTCGTGAGGGCCGGATTCACGCTCTGGTCCGCGATAGCCTGCGCCTGCAGGTAGAAGTGGCCAGGCACTCGAGGCACCTCCAGCGTCCCAGACACCTCGCAGCCTTCTAGACGAGCGCGTTCCACTACTGGCAAAGCCACTGCTCGCAAATGGCCTGTATCCCCCGCGGGGGATCTACGAGAAACTGCATCAGAGCAGACATGTGCTTTTCGGACGTCTGCGAGTAGGCACTTGGCAAGTAGTGGAACGCGCTCGGAGACCTTCGCTGAACATCGTGTGGTGCTGCTGGCTCATCAGCATGCTGCCCCTCGAGGCGCCCAGGGCGCCCTCCAGGAACCCGGCGATGCCCTCCAGGGTCCGCCGCCCGCGGAACGCCTCGAAGGAGCCGTCGCGCTTGTAGAGGCGCACGGAGGGGAACGCGGAGACCTGGGCTCGTCGGCAAGCGTCCCCGAAGGCAACACAATTGATTCTCAAGAACTTCACCGTCCCCTGCTTGCCGTCCGCGTCGGTGAAGACCTTTCTCTCGCTCATCTGGTTTGCCGCCTCCATCCATGCCGGCGCGAACCTTTGGCAAAATCCGCCACCGTTCCCTGAGGCACGAGTTTGGGTGTCCCCAGGTCCTTTCGAGTTCCCAACATTCATCACTGCACATCGTACTTTGAACCTTCCGGGCGCCCTTGGGCGCTATTGAGGTCGGCCGCATAGATGTTCGAAAGCCAGAGGGCGCCAAGACGGGCCCCAAGGAGCCTCTAAAATGGTTCAAGATGGCCCCGAGTCGCCCAAAGATCGCTTCATGATGGCCCAGAGACGGCCCAGGAACCCCCCAAGACGCCCAAGGAGGGCTCCAAGAGGACCCACCCAAGAGGGCCCCGAGATGCCACAAGTACTGATTGTCCGATGGTGTTGTATTGACTCTTGTGTCATAATATTTTCAGGCTTTCGGCACCCCAAGACGGCCCAGGAGGCCCCCGAGAGCGCCCCCAAACGGCCAAAGAGGGCCCCCACCCAAGAGGACCCCAAGAGAGGCCCCAGAGAGCAGCCCAAGAAAGGCAATTTCGAGCCCTTCGCCCCCAACTGGCGTATGGGACCGCCAGCAGGTCCCCCACGAGGTTCCCCACAAGCTCCAGGAGGCTCACAAGAGGCCCAAACCAGGCGCCAAGACACCCTGAAACCAAATCCAAGAGGCTTACTAGAGGCCTCCTACAAGATCCCCACATCCATCCCAGACGCCGCTGACTACAAACCAGGAACGATGGCGGGATGGGCCGAAGGTTACAAGATCCGCCGCCCCCTGTGCTTGTCACAAGGGAGCCCGGCATGCTAGACGCTACCGTTTTTGGTTTTGGTTCTTTCCCAAAGGAGCTCCCCCCGTGGCTTCGGCCCATCCCACCAGCCATCCGGAAAGGCGCGCAAGACCTCAACGTCCGCCTCCAAGACGGCCCTGGAGCACCTCAAAAGGGCCCCAAGTAGGCCCAGAGAGGCCCAAAACACGGCTTCCGACGGCGTCAGACAGGCCAGAAGCCCACCAAGACGGCCCAAGATGGCTCTAAGGTGGCCCAGGGCGGCCAAAGAGGCCTCCAAGAGGGCCTCCAGGAAGGCCCGAAGTGGCCCACATCATGGAGTTACCTCAGGTTCTTGAAGGATTTTGGCATTTGTTTTGTTTCGTCCTTCCGACGGAGCCCCCAAAGATCGTCCCAGAATCGCCCAAGAGGCCTCCAAGATGGCCCCAGAACAGCCCAAGAGGCCCCCAAGACGGCCCCAAGAGGGCCCAAGAAGCCTCCGAAACCCCCAAAATGGCCTCCAAGACGGCCCTGGATCACCCCGAGAGGGCCCCAAGTCGGTCCAGAGAGGCCCCCAAGACAGCTTCTGACGGCGTCAGACGGACCAGGAGGAGCCCACCAAGACGGCCCAAGATGGCCCTAAGATGGCCCAAGAGGCCTCCAAGAGGGCCTCCAGGAAGGCCCGAAGAGGCCCAAAGCATGGATTTTCCTGAGGTATTTGAAGGATGTTGGCATTTGCTTTGTTTCGGCCTACCGACGTCCCGAGACGGCCAAAGAGCCCCCTAAGATCACCCCAAGATCGCCCAAGAGGCCTCCAGGATTGCCTCAAGACTGACCAAGAGGCCCCCCAAGACGGGCCCAAGAGGCCCCAAGACGGCCCAAGAGGCCTCCAAGACGCCCAAAATTGACTCCAAGACGGCCCTGGAGCAGTCCAAGAGGGCCCCAAGTCGGTCCAGAGAGGCCCCCAAGACGACTTCCGACGGCGTCAGACGGACCAGGAGCCCACCAAGACGGCCAAAGAGGCACCCGAGAAGCACCCGAAGGCCCCCAAGAGGCCCCAAGAGGCCCAAAGAGGGCCCCCCCCCAAGATGCCTCCAAGAGGCTCCCACACGAGTCACCAGAGGCTCCCAAGATGCCCACTCCTCCTCCATCTCCTCCTCCTCCTCCTCGTTCACCTCCTCCTCCTCCTCCTCCTCCGCCTCCTGATATTCCCCGCCATACTCCCCCAAACGTTCCCCGAAGGTTTTTCACAACGGCTGGGGGAACACATGGTCCGATAGCTTGGCAGAGCTCTTGCCACAATGACCGGCCACATGGGCGATTCTAGTAGTCAGGGGGCGGCGGTGATTCGCCGTAGGCGTCTTCAATCCGCCGCCCCGTGTTGGCTTGCCACATGGGTGCCTGGCGTGCTGGATCCTTTCGGTTTTGGCTTTGGTTCTTTCCAAAAGAACTCCCCCCCGGAACTTCGGCTGTCCCGCCGGCCACCCGGGAAGGATCACAAAGGGACGCAAACGACCTCAACGTCAAGAAAAATCCTCCAAGACGGCTCAAGATGGCCTCCAAGAGGGTCAAGATGGCCCAAGATGGCTTCCAAGTTCGCCCAAAATGGTGCAACATGGCCTCCAAGACGGCCCAAGAGGGTCCAAGATACTTCCAAATCCTCCCCAAAAGCCTCCAAGACGGCCCAAGACTGCCCAAGAGGTGCCCAAGAGGCCTTCAAGACAGCCCGAGAGGCCCCCGAGTGGTCCTCCAGGAGGGCCAAAGGCCAAAATCATCAATCATTGATTGTCCTTAGGTGTTTGAAAGTTTTCGTATTTGCTCTGTTCTGCCTTGGACGGCCCAAGAGGCCCCAAAGATCGCCCCCAGAGAGCCCAAGAGGCCTCCAAGATGGCCTCAGAACTCCCCAAGAGGCCCCCAAGACGGCCCAAAGACAGCCCAAAAGGCCTCCAAGACGCCCAAGATGACCTCCAAGACGGCCCTGGAGCATCCCAAGAGTGCTCCGAGTCAGCCCAGAGAGGCCCCCAAAACTGCTTCCGACGGCGTCAGACGGGCCAGGAGCCTACCAAGACGGCCCAAGATGGCTCTGAGATGGCCCAAGGCGGCCCAAGAGGCCTCCAAGAGGGCCTCCAGGAAGGCCCGAAGTGGCCCAAAGCATGGATGTTCCCTAGGTGTTTGAAAGATGTTTGCATTTGCTTCGTTTCGTTCTTCCGACGGCCCGAGACGGCCCAAGAGCCCCCAGAGATCGCCCCTAGATCGCCCAGGAGGCCTCCAGGATTGCCTCAGGACTGCCCACAAGGCCACCAAGACGGACCCAAGAGGGCCCCAAGACGGCACAAGAGGCCTCCAAGGTGGCCCAAGAAGCTTCCAAGACGGCCCTGGCAAGAGGGCCCCAAGACGGCCCAAGAGGCCTCCAAGACGCCCAAGAAAGCTTCCAAGACGGCCCTGGAGCAGTCCAAGAGGGCCCCAAGTCGACCCAGAGCCCCCAAGACGGCTTCCGACGGCGTCAGACGGACCAGGAGCCCACCAAGACGGCCGAAGATGGCCATAAGATGGCCCAACAAGCCTCCAAGAGGGCCTCCAGGAAGGCCCGAAGAGGCCAAAATCACTGAAGTGCCTGAAGATGATGAATGAGGTTGGCAGTTGCTTCTCTTCGCCCTACCGACGGCCCGAGACGGCAAGAGCACCCAAAGATCGCCCCAATATCGCCCAAGAGGCCTCCAGGATGGCCCCAGATCGGCCCAAGAGGCCCCCCAAGACGGGCCCAAGAGGGCCCACTGACGACCCGAAAGGCATTCAAGACGTCCAGGATGGCCTCTAAGACGGCCCTGGAGCACCCCAAGAGGGCCCCAAGTCGGCCCAGAGCGGCCCCCAAGACTGCGTCCGACGGCCTCAGACGGGCCAGGAGCCGACCATGACTGCCAAAGAGGCCCCCGAGAAGCCCCCGATGGCCCCCAAAAGGCATCCAAGAGGGCCTCCAAGATGCCTGTAAGAGGCTCAGAGGAAGCTCTCAGGAGGCCCCAAGAGGCTCCCAAGATGCCCCCTCCTCCTCCTCCTCCTCCTCCTTCTCCTCCTCCTCGTCCTCCTCCGGCGCCCCCGGAAACGCAAGCACAAGAAGAAGGCGGGGAAGGACGCCCGTTCGGAGGAGGCCAAGCTGGGCTTGCAGGAGTGGCCTCAGCCGCCGCCTCCGCCGGCCCGTATCGTGCGCACCCCGCCCAGGAAGAGGTAAAGGCTCGGCGAAAGAGACACAGGAAGAAGAAAGACAACCCAACTTTGGCTGAGCCTCTCAGTGAGGCTCGCCTTTCGGCTGAGCCTCTTAGTGAGGCTTGCCTTTCGGCTGAGACTCTTCGTGAGGCTCGCTTGCACTTTTCGTGTTCGGCTGAGCCCGTGCCCGGGGCTCGCCCAGATGAGTGCTCTGATGTGGTTGGTCTGGTTGGTCTGGAGCCGCTTCCTTCGGTTGAGGCGCTCCCCGATCAGGCAGCACATTCGTCTTCGGGTGAGGCGGAGGGCTCGGCAGGGACACTGCAGCATTTTTCACGACCCGACGTTGCGACGGGATCTTTACAATTGGGCGCGAAGACGCCTGAGGGTTCGAGTTTTGATGTGGGCGCAAGGGCGCCCTCCATCTCGGACTGTGCTTTGCTCCGCCGTTTTTCTGATGGCGTCGAGGTGATAGAAGTTCTGCGCGCAAAGCCGTGGCTGGTGGAACCTGTTTTGAGTGCGGCGTCTCGGTTGGTCCTGGCGGAGGTTTCCACCCTCATGCCAGTAGTATCAGCCTTGCAGGCGCCCAGTTCTAGCCGGTAGTCTCAGTCATGCAGCTGTTCACTTAGTAGCTCCTGCACCCAATTTTCTTGCTACCATGTTTTAACCCGCCTCGGAGTTTGGCATGGCATCGCACACAGTGAAAAAATCCTACTCCACCTCCTCCTCCTCCTCCTCCTCCGCATCCTCCTGATATTCCCCGCCATCCTCCCCCAAATGTTCCCCGAAGGTTTTCCACAACGGCTGGGGAAACAAATGGTCCGATAGCTTGGCAGAGCTCTGGCCACAACGCTCGGCCTCGTGGGCGATTCTAGAAGGCAGGGGGCGGCGGTGATTCGCCGTAGGCGTCTTCGATACGCACCATCCTGCAAAAAAAAACACAAGTGTAAAATCATGGAAGGAAACCACCTTCTCGAAATCAGTGTGGTGAAAGTGGTCGTCGGTGGACGCCCAATCCGAGTCCAGCTTTTTTTGCTCTTCCTCGCTGACGTCTGTTACAGTATCGCGTCTTTGCAACTCGCTGATTTCATCCGACGTGTATGTCCTGCCCGAAGGAAGTTGTTCGTGATCAACGGGCATGAATGACGCACGATCTGCAACATCCAGCTCCTCCTCATTGAATCCCACCAACCCTCTGGGCGTAGGTGGTTTAGGGCGGCTCCTCTTCCAACCCCCTTTTCCCCTTTTGGGGAGGGTTCATCACTGTTCCCTAGTGGTAAACACCCCCTCCCCAATCCGGCCCGCAGCCAACACCATGAGCCCCCCCCCCACCATCCCTGTCAACAAACAATACACACTGCACATTGCGGAGCCCACCTTGCCAACACCCCCCCACAATCCCTGGCAAAAACAATGCGACGTGCACATTGCAGCAACATCCAGACAGTGCGCTGGCGCCCTGTGAGCACGTTGTATTGTTTTTGACAAGGATGGTGGGGCACCCTGAGTGAAGCTTGTGCAGAACCACCATCCGCGTTCCAGTGGCGACCCCAAGCTATGGCGAGACCCGGATGCCACTTATGTGGTGGGAGGGCGGGTGGGAGTGAGCTAAACGGCTTGCGTGCGGAGAAGGTGTCTTGATCACTGTTCCCTATTAGTATACACCCTCCCCCCAGGCGACTGGGAGCTAACCGGGGTCAATGCGGTTCCCCCCCGGCCACCCCTTTATAAACAACTCTACAAAACACACTCTGCCTCCAAATTCGGAGCATGCGCAGCGAACCCGATGCGGCCTCCCCCCACCATCCATGTCAAAAAACAATACAGGGTACACTTGGCGGCGGCGGCGGCTGCGGCGGCTGCGGCGGGGGCAGCGGCTGCGGCGGCTGCGGCGGTTGCGGCGGCGGTGGCGGTGGCGGCGGCGGCGGGGGCGGCGGCGGCGGCGGGGGCGGCGGCGGCGACGGCGGCGGCGGCGCGGTGGCGGCAGCGGCTGTGCGGCAGCGGCTGTGGCGACTACGATTCGGCAGCGGGGGCGCGGCGGCGTTGGCGGCGGCGGCGGCGGCGGCGGCGGCGCGGCGGCGGCAGCGGCGGACAGCGGCTGCGGCGGCGGCGCGGCGGCGGCGGCGGCGGGCGGCGGCGGCGGCGGAGGCGGATGCGCCCCCACTAGCTGCCCATCCATATCATAGACGACTGCTGAATATGCTGCGGTTCGGGCTAGGCTCGGGTGCTACGTACGTGCGGGGAGGGCGGGTGGGAGTGAGCGAGACGGCTTGCGGGCGGGGAGGGAGTTCTGACCCTTCCCCCTACCCCCTCCCCTGGACCTGGACGGATCGGGCCCCCCAGGCTGATTGTGGCCAGGCTGCCGACGCCATGGTCGATGTGGAGGTCGTGATGCCCGCGGGCCCGCCGAGCGCCGCAAACCCTCGTCTGGGGTTCGCCGCTGGCGCGAGGCGCGGGGAGCGCGCCGCTACTGGGGAGGTAGCACGGGCGGGGTCCGACCACCACGAAGGGCGGCGCGATGGCCAAGGGGGGTTGGGGAGACTGGGGAGCAGCTCTCTGAACACCCTATGCCCCCCCCCCCCCGAGGCAGACGCAGCCACGCGACCGCCCCGTGGATGCCTCGGGCAAGAGATCGCAACGCCCTGGTGATACACTGCGGCTACCAGGCTCAGCGTTGCCATGTTTTGCTAATGCTGTGGTTCGGGGTGGTGAGTTTCCTGGCGACGTCGGTCGCCAGCGCGGACCCCCGCGAGGAGAAGGTGCCTGGCCTGACGTTCGCGGTCCGCCTGGCCACGGTCGTGCTCCTCCTCGTGGGTCGAGGCCCCCCACCGACTGCTGAATTCAGCATCGAGACGTGCAGCGCCTGTCAAGCGGAGACTCGCCCGTCCTGCGGCGGGCGTCGTTCTCCTGCAGGAGCTCGGGCACGTCGCCGACCGCGTCGAGGCCCTGGGCCCATGGCGTGCTGGAAAAAGGTGGCGCGCGATGGCGCCTCCTAGCTTGCCCACTGTCGGCGCGGCCCCCATCGGCAGGCGTTGCGGCTGCACTTCGCGACAGCCGTGGCGTCGGGCCCCCTGCCCTTGGAGTGCGCGATGCGATCTCATGCAAGATTCAGCACGTCGTCGTCTATCTTCAAGGCGCGGGCCGCGGGCTCCACGTTTCCAATTTTCCCCGGGCGAGGGGGCAGGGGGGGTGCAATGGTCGAATGTTGCAGAAGCTTGGGCTGGCACCTGAGGCCCTAGACGGCCCCGTCATCACTGGCGGTGACTGGAACATGTCGCCAGCGGAGCTTGAGGCCAGCCAGTTCTCTGCTCACGTATTTTGCTCTTCAGCGTGCGCCACCGATGTTACGTTCAGGAGGCGCTGGCAATTGATTATTTCCTCCTCAACTCGGCGGCCGCGAGGACGCGCCCCCGACTCAGCTGCGATGCCGAGTGGCCCAAACGAGGCCACCGCTCTGTTCAGGTAGTGCTGAAAGGCGACGCCCGGCACGTCAAGGAGCTGGCGCTCACTGTCGCGCCTAGGATGGGCACGCAGGTCACTGTCGGCCCGCAGTTGCTTGGGATGGCGCGCCATGCGCTGGCGGGGCTGCCGGGGCGGCGCGCGACGACGAGAGCGTCGACGCTGGCATGGGATGGGGTCTTCAGTCTTCTGCCCGGGAACATTTTGCAGCGCGAGCGGCTGAGTCCATCGCGGCCGCAATCGGCCGCGCGGACTGCGGCGCCCCAGCCTCTGCGCGGCCGCTTCGGCCGAGATGGGTCGATATCAGCTGCGCTATCGCAGATCAGACGGACTTGCGGGCGGTCTCCGAGGGCTGGCAGCGGTTGCAAAATTTGTCGTCGCGCGCAAGTGTTCTCAAGCGGGCTGCCGGCCGCCCCCCCCTCAGGAACTGGCCAAGCATGCAGGAGGAGGTCCCCACTTTCGCCACGACTGCCCACCACGGGCATGGCCTGTCGACGCGGTTCGGCCGCTCCGCGCGGCAGGCGCGCGCCCTGGCGCAAGCCGGTTTCAGCGAGCAGACTTGTCGCGAGGTCTTGAACGACATCGAGCCAGACGTCGAGCTCGCATCGAGCGGCGCCTCCAAGGAGGACCGCGAGAAGTGGGGGGACCGGTGCGCGCTGGCTCTCGAGAGGGGCGCGCGAGTCTTCCACCGGGCTGCCGAGGCATTGCAGCGCGCGGGAGCCAGCGCCGCTCGCGGGCCGTCTGCTCATGTTCACGACGCAGGGCGGCGTGAGGTTGAGTTGTATAAGAAATTGTAGCCTAGTTGACGCCCTGCGCCGGCGTGGATTCCTGGCCGATCTTTGCTGCGGAAGACGACAGCCAGAGATATTTGCGCCGCTGCTCAGCTGTTCTCTCATCCACTACCACTGCTGCGCCTGATGACCTCCGTCCCCGTCGTTTCCAGTTGCTGGGCGATGAGGCGCTTGAGATAGTTGTTCTGCTCTTCCCAGCTACGGAGTCGCTTGGCCTCCCGCCAAGGCAGCCACGGCGGCTCGTCACCCCCATGCCCCCCAAGACGCCGGGCACGGGCAATCGGCTGGTGGCGCTCCATGCTGGGCCCCGCCGAATCTGGCAGCGCCCGCGTCGGCCAGGGCCCCCATGAGCTGCAGCCGCAGATTGGCCGCCCCCACCAGGGCGCGGCGCGAGGGCCCAGGCAGCCGAAGGCGAGGCAGACCAGCGGCAAGCTTATCACGGCGCGCTGGCCGCGGCTGACTTTTGCAAGTACTGCGAACGGATCCCGCTGGACAGGCTACGGGGCAAGTTCCCCAATTGCAGCGCGCGCCGCGTGTCTTGCGTCTCAGCGGTCAACATGCGGGCGAGCCGCTTTGCGCAGCTTGTGGTCTCCTTGCTCGCGACGTGTTCTGCGATGTCGCCGTCAGAAGAGAATCGGCTCGTGAGTGCGGCAACCCTGGCAGACACAGCCTCGCGGCTATTATTGGGCCGCTCTGGTGCGGAAATGTCAGCGGTTTTCAAATGTCTGGTCGCGTCTATTTCCATGCCCCGCGCATCATATGTTTTTCTTGAGTTTCAATGTTTCGCCGGCGTTAAGATGGGGGCGGAGTATACTTTTGACGGTTTAGACATGTTTCATCATTTGAAGCCAGGAATTAAACATGTTTCGCCACGAGTACCCACAAAAGAACCACGGCATGGCTTCTAGCCACGTTCAACCATATTCAGCAACGCATAGTCACGTTTAGACACGGGCACCAGCGAGCGGCTTGCATGCCAAAAATAAACGCCACGTTTAAACATTAAATAAATGCGCACGTTTTCTAATCCGAATACATGCGAATGACGGCGGGGAAGTTCTTAGCTGCGCAACACAGATGAGGGTTACCATTACCTGTGGAAGCAGAAAGAGGAAGACGGAGGAGCAGGCAGAGGATGAGCAGGAGGAGGCACGGAGGGAGAGACGACGAGGAGGAAGCGGATGAAGGGGGGAAAGATGAGGATCAGGAAGAGGAATAGCATATGTGGACGAACAAGCATATGTTGATTATGCTCGACATCATCGTGTCAAATGTCCTCCCGCACCCTCTTCCTGTTCTTGCTCCTTCTCCTTCCCCCTCCTCCGCTTCCTCCTCCTGGCGCGACGCGGGTGTCTGTTGCGGGGCAACTCGTTTGATCGCGCGGGCGGCGATGTTTAGCGTTTCCCCCGTCTGGGTCGCGGCTGTGAACTAGCCGCGATTAGCAGCGAAATAGCCGCGGCAATACATCGACTTTAGCCACGAGTAGTCACGTTTAGACGCGATGTGTTTAGATGCGACATTTTCTTGACATGCGCAGATCTTTAAACATGTTTAGCCATCGTAAGCCGCGCCCAAGTGAGAAGCATGCGCGGCTAAACCTTGCTAAAACTGCCGATCTTAAACATGTTTGCACCGCGCTCAAGCGAGAGCAACGCCCCGGCTAGACGCGACTAAAAACCTGAGCCGCGTCTTCCAGGGAATGTCATGGCCAGGCAGCCGCGCGCGCAGTCCGCCTGCTACATGGATGACATCTCCATCCGCCCGGCATCCACTACCGCTGGCACCGCCGCCTCCATGACGGCGGCGGCCATGGTAAACTTCAGGCGCGCCGTGGACGTGGATGAGCTTGATGCGATTGTCAACGACAAGCTCGCGATTGCGGGTGCCGGCCTCTCTCTCGCGCAGGGCGTCGCGAGCGCGCCCGGGCCGCGAATTCCGCTGCC